ATTCCTTCCCAGACCCTTCTCTTTCCCCTTCCCTATTTAAGCCAGCTCCCTGGCTTTGGGGAGGGGGAGTGCACATCCAAATCCAGCTACCACACCATGTCAATAAAGCTCTTTGGAAACCCACAGACTTCTCGTATCATTGGGGCCTGCTGTCGCCAAAGCTTCCAGCCTTTGGAACTTCAGACCTTCTCGAGTTATTGGGACCAGCAGCAGAGTCCAGGGATTTCGAAGCGGACTTTCTTCTGTTTGTGGGACCCACTGGCATGGAAAGCCTCCATGACTCTGCCGCCCCCCCCCCTCCCGTCACTGCCACGCAGTTCCGGGATTCCACTGCGGCTTTACACACACACACACGCACACACACACAATGCCAAAATCATGAAGCAAAATAAAGCCACCGTGCACAGAACTATGTTAGCATGTTAAGGATATATTCTCAGGGTTTCTTTTCTTTCCTTACATTTTTATTCCCTCCTCTTTTCCTTCCATTTTATTTCATCAAAATGAGACCATCTGGCTTTTAATTGTTTTAACTTCCACCAGATATTATAAACAGCGTTTGGTGATAACATGTAGTGTGTAATTATTTGGTTTAGGAGGACTCGTTGCTGCTTAACTCACTGAACTACATTTTCACTTTTTGATACTTAATCCTTCTACTCTTGTTAAAAAAAAAAAACCTGAACACCTGAACAATCTCTGGTTTTACTCATCCATCTTGCCACATTTCTCTAGAATGAATTTGTAGAGGTAGCATTGTGGGAAACCCGGGGTGAATACTGATCCATTCCACCAAGTGACTCTTACAATTTTTTTCCCCAAGCACCTATAAAGCTGCGTGTTTCTGTTCATTTTCTGGTGAGTTTAGGTCAGAAATGGAGTGTAGAAGATTCTAGGGTGTTACTGGATGGCTGAGAATTTCTATATGTCTTCTGAGAATTTCTGCTTGTCTTCAAAATTTGATACAAGAAAAAAGTACAAGCAAAGACAGGCTTCACTTTTGTTTACCTTTAGAAACTATGTTCGAGGAGCATGGATGGACTACCACCTATCTTGACCTTGTGCCATTCTGAATAGGCTCTTGACTCCACAGGGCCTTAGGACTATTGGTAGAAAGGTCATCCATTGCTGTCCAATACACCAGATGTACAGAATAGGAGCCTGTGTACCTGTCTTTCTGTATCTCCTTCTTCCAGACCAAGAGACAGGGCTGAGAAGCACTGGGAGCTGAAGATGTCTTTCTGGGTGCCTCACTAACCTCCTTTGCTTCTCACCTGGTGGCCTGAGTTATGGTTAATGGGCAGTGGCCTGCTGCTGTCCCTGACTCTCTCATCTGAAAAGTCATCTCAAGACTTTTAGAAAAGCACCCACAGCTTGTCATGTATTGGGTCCCATCCAGGGGCTGCCTGCCTGTACCCTCTGTCAGACTCTCTTCTTCCCTATGATACTGCTTGTGGATGAACTGAGTAGGGAACTTGTGGGTTGTTGAGCAGGAGCTGAATAGATTATGTTAACAGAGAATATCTGGTGAGCTGGAGATGGAACGTGATGCTGGACCCCATGGGCTCATCAGACGGCACTGAGTGGCTCTGTTTAGGGATCTCATGATAGAGATGGGATCTGAGTTGGGATGTACGGACTGTCCTATGTTTTCTGACACTTGTGTTTTCCTCTTTTCTTCCCCCATCTCTTGACTTGACTGCATATGGAGCTCATGAGTCTTCACCATAACTCTCCTATGTCCCATTGTCCCCTTGATTTTCCAACTTAGCCTCAACCACAGGTACTTTCTCTGTTTATATGTAGGTAACATCTGAAGGAAGCTCCACAGTCCCCAGAGCGATTGTCTTTACATTGGTGGCCTTCCATGACCATTGGGCACAATCAGGCTGGCTGCTGAGTCTCCCAGCTCTATATGCTCCTTTGTTTTCTGACATTTGTCGATATCTTACTGAGCTGCCCCAACTGGCTCAACCCGCACACAACCATACAGTAATTATGTATGCACCTCTAACAGTTTGAAGAGACAAATATTATTAACAAATAGAAGACCCATTGTTTTGAAGAGTTTGCATGAAATGGAACCAGAGAGTGAATGTGATAAAGGGAGAATTTATCAAAGGACAAAAAATGGGGAGGGGGGAGAAAGAATGTAGAATCAATCCCCCAATCAACGCTTTGGGGGTTTGCTTTCCTCAGTTTTTCCAGCTGGGCTTGGTTTGTCCCTGGTTCATGGGATCTTAAGCAGAGAGTGCTCCCTCCTATTCCTCCCCTCTGACACTGGAATACTGACAAGGCTCTAGGTGCCATGACAAAGGATGGATCTCCCTCATTCTTCAGCCTGATTCATTTTAGATTTGAGATGACTGTAGTCAGACTTCCTTTTCCTCTGAGATTTAATTAACACTTGTTAGGGGGCTATGTTCTTTAGGGCATATATTTATATTTAGTTGTTGGTTTTGGAGACAGGGGTGGTTTTCAACCCTACCAGCTTCTCTCCACAAAAAAAACCCATTTGGTTCTTTGGGTACAGTCATACTACAGAGGACTTGAGGAGTGAAGTCTTTTTACTTGGTCCTCTCAAGGTGTCTGGTTTTGAGATTTAGTCTCTATTGGTATGAGTGAGCAGGCCATCGTAAGCTCTTTCATTAGCCAGGCCAATGAATATCTGCCCGGAGTCTGAGAGATACATATGCATTCATTTAAAACAGGTGGGACCCTGCCAATTTGTTCAGATCCACTGCCAGCTGGCACTTCATTGGGTCATCCCTGAAGAAAGCCAAAGAGCTCAGAAGACTTGGCCTCTGATTCTGGCCTAGCAATGAACAGTAGCTTTAGTGTGTGAAGAGGCAGTGTCTGAGCATAAATGGACCAGGCAGGCCCAGTCCCTCACATCTTCCTTCAAAATTGTCTGCCAGGGTTGATACTGTTTTCCAAGGGAAATTTTTGCATTTGTTTTTGACATTTTAAACCAGCATGCGTGCATGTTTGCTTTTTGGTGATCAAGGCATGTCTTCATCGAAAGAAACCAGCAGGAATACTCGTTGCCTTTCTCACATTACATGTTTGACCCCACGACCTTATGTTCTCTCAAAGCCTCTATCATGAAGGCCTCAGTCTTCGTCTTCTACCACGGTCTCCCCTGGATGATCCCACAGGCCTCTTGATGTCAACAGACTGGAATGCTTCTCTCCTGTCTGGGAAAAGCTTCTTTGGTCTTAGCTAACTCAGAGGTGGAAGGAATTCATATGACTTTGAGGGCCTGCCTCAAATTGCCTCTTGTTATAACTTCCCACAAACCCGGAGAGAATAATTAAAATGTCTCTTCAGTGCCCAGCAAGGACGAGAAGAACTGTCCCTGTTTTTTTCTGCCAAAGCCATTTGCAGCCAGACAGGACCATGAGCACACCTAGGTGGGAGGTAGAGAGCACTGTTGAAATTTTCCTGCTAACGTTGGCATCTCTTATTTATGCTCTCCAGAGCACCATTCCTAGGGAGAACCTAAAAAAGAAAATAGGCCTGTAGGTCCCACTTCACAAAGAAATGGAGCCTCAGAGAAGTCAGGCACTTTCTCCAAGTGACACATTTGTGGTGAGGGGTAGAATCTGTTATAATTAGTTCTGAGTAAACTGAAACATTGTACCTGGCTGTGTAAGAAGCAGATGTGTACTAGGAATTCAGAGACTCAGTCTCAGCCAGGTCCTCAGACTGGTTTCACTTAAAGAAGAATAGATTCGCCCCTCAGAATCCAAGGGGATTGTTCCAAGACTCCCTTCCAGTACCACCAACTGTGGGCAATAAATTTTTTTGTGTGTGTTAAAAGGCATAATGTTTACATATCATCCCATAGAAATCTTTTTGATGTCTTAAATTATAGATTTCCTATAATCCCCAATAGAATCTAAACACTTTGAGAATAGTTGTTGTGCAATATTATTTAGAGAATAGTGGCAAGTGAAAAGAAAGTCTGTGTATCCACCATTCTGACTGACATAACATTGTTGAATGCTTTTATTTGTGGTTGTGTGAATCCTTGTATATGGAGACCGCAGATACAGAGGGCCAAATGCAGTGGGTAGTCTGATTTCATAAGGAAGCTTCAACATAACATTTGTGAGGTTTCATCATTTGTAGAGTAATTCTTTGGTAAGAGGATTTTCCCCAATTATAATTAAGACATTTATGTAGGTAATCTTTTAAGCTGTAATTTAATTTAAATGGAATTAATTCATCAAGTTTTGTTCAATATAACTACTGCCTAGTAGTTCATTTCCTTTCTCTCCTTTTCATCTCCGTGTATTTTATGAACATCTGAGGTAGATTCAAGGTGACTTAATTCCAAGAGGAATAAGATCTGCATTGCGTCCTAAGTGAGTTTACAACTGAAATGGGGACTTAAGTCATCATGAGGTGACATGACCACATGCCATAAGACTAATACAAATAGGGAAAAGGTAAACTGACAGCAGAAAGTTATGTTCCCCTGTAGGGAAAGGTAATGTGTAAGCAGAGGCTTTGAGAAAGGACAGCCAGGAGCTCAGCAGACAGTGCTGCAACAGGGACACAGGGAGACAAGAAAGGAAGCATTGCTAGGAATTCCAAGTAAAGAGGTAGGTGGGAAATGGACATACAGCTGGGAAAACTCACACGCTTCCTTTGACCTCAGAGAAAGACATATGTTGCGGGAGGATATAGGGCATAAAGAGGTATTTAGAAGCCTGTTTGCAGAAGATCCTCAGAGCCAGGCCAATCAGTACAGTGTTTATCTGGTAGACAATGAATGGCCTTTGATCACTTGAAAATTAGAAAAAGCCATGACTCAACAAGAACTTTAGGAATGAAAATGGATGGAAGGTTTCTGGGTTCCAGGCTGAAGAAATTATGTATGAGCCAAGCTCCTCAGAGAACAAGGCAAGAACAGATGTCTAAGTTGGGTTCAAATTGTAATGTCATGAAAAATAACCTTTCATTTTCAACCTGGTCTTTAGGATCTGACACAGTTCCTAAACCCCTTGGGATTTCTCAAGAGGTAGGATGAAATTCAACATCAGGAGCATTTCCTGATATTGAAAATTCCCTGCAGCCATACCTGAGTTTATGGATAAGATTATTGGTGCCTTGGGTCTCTAGACAGTTCCAGGATAGGGGCTAGTACCTGGGAAGAGTAAGGCATGATTAGAAAGCTGGCTGGAACTTAGTCTCCGAGGAATGGAGGAGACCTAAGGGTAGAGTCAGTCTCCACTCGTCAGTGATTTAATCAATAATATCTTTGGAATAGAGCTCTATAAGCCCCAAATAATAGGATTCCACAAGTATCTAGGTTAGTGAACATATCAGTGCACTGGATTGTAATGCTCCTGAAGGAAGATGGAGCTAAATTCCGCCTCAGGCCTTGTCCTGTATGGCTCTTCCACTTTGCTCCTTATGAGTTATTGTAACAAACCAGTAGTAGCAAAGTTTTCTTGAGCTCCATAAGTCATTCTAGCAAACTACTGAAGTTGAGGTGTGTGTGTGCGTTGGGGTGTACTGGCTGTTTTTTTTTTGTGTGTGTCAACTTGACATAAGCTGGAGTTATCACAGAGAAAGGAGCCTCCCTTGAGGAAATGGCTCCATGAGATCCAGCTGTAAGGCATTTTCTCAATTAGTGATCAAGGGTGGGAGGACCCATTGTGAGTAGTGCCATCCCTGGTCTGGTACTCTTTGGTTTTATAAGAAAGCGAGCTGAGCAAGCCAGGGAAAGCAAGCCAGGAAGTAACATTCCTCCATGGCCTCTGCATCAGCTCCTGCTTCCTGCCTGACCTGCTTGAGTTCCAGTCCTGACTTCCTTTGGTGATGAACAGCAATGTGAAAGTGTAAGCTGGTTAAACCCTTTCCTCCCCAACTTGCTTCTTGGTCATGATGTTTGCACAGGAATAGAAACCCTGACTAAGGCAGGGGTGAATTGAAGTACAGAGTGGTCTGGACTTTTTGACTCGTGGCTGAAATGAGGCTGTCTGGTGGGACTGAGCCCTTCATCTACAGGATCGGATCCAACTCCTGAGCTCCAATGTCAGAGGAGACGTGGCTTCCACAATTTTTTTTTTTTTTGTCTAACATTCATTCTACTGCACAAGCATTATTTTGTTTATCTGCCCTGTTCTAATGAACATTTGGGTTTTTATAGTACGAACAAATCTGATGAAGAATATGTGTTTACGATATTTACAGGTGAGAATAGGCTCACTTCTCTTTGACATTTGCCTCGCAATGGAAGGGCTGCGTATGCTGCTTATTCCTTCTCCCATTCCTGTGTCCAAATTCCTGGCCAGAGAGCCGTCTAAGGGAAGAAGAGTTCATCTTGCCTCGTGTACTAAGGGTACAGTTTACTATATCAGTGACATGTTGGCAGCTAGAATAGTTCTTGTCTATAGGAGGCTGTTTGCTTAGGTTTTGGTAGACTGTGAAGCAGAAAAAAGACTAGTAATGCTGGGTTACAGACCCAAAACCAAGAACTGAAATCCCAGGGGGCAGATTATTCAAAAGACTCATACAGAGCGTCGGCCTACACCTTATACAGCTGATACCTAGCAGGGTCTTCCAGATTAAGAGCAAGGACATATCATTGTTCCTGTCCTAAATCAATCCAAATAGTTCCATCAATTATCTGGACAGAGAAACGTACCCTGGGAACAGTTCTTTTTTGTACTTTTTTTTATATAAAAAATTTTAGAAATAGTATAAAGCCTGCCAAAATGTCAATTAACACAACAGTCTTTTTGGCAATTGTCCATTCTTACCTCTGTAAAGTGTGCTCTGCTCTTCTCTGCGATAAACTGTGTTCCACACGCCTGCTGTTCATCTTGCTTGAATTCATTTGAGGGAGACTACAGTGCCTGGGATTGCCAGAGGAGTCCAGAGCATGATCCAGGCAACAATAGCACAATATGAAACCTCCATGAAGAGCCGCTGTGGGCCTGAGAACCTCCTGTGTGTCTATGTCTCATTAATAGTCATCTGCTCTGGTAGTCTTTGGGGCAGGTGTGAAGGCTGGATGGGGTCTGCTTGGGCAATGTAGTATGCAAGGCAGCGAAGGGTCCAGCCTGGGCTCGAGTGAGATCCTGCAGGTGGAGTCCTGTGGACTCTTTAGTCTGGGCTGCATTTCTGGCCCTGGTCTGTGACTCTGGATGTGATTGGGATAATTGAGAGCTTATGCTCCATTCCCCAAAGACTGGTTTTAGCACACAAGCAACCTGCATTTTAATATTATTCCTTCTGACTGGAAGCATTTGGAAACGGTTCTTGCCCCTGCTTATAAAAGGTGGCGTTAGTTTATGAACATTTCGACATTGATTAATAAAATTCCGAACCCATTAACTAATGGGGAAATGCCAAACTTTTTTTTTTTCATCCAAGAAAGCAAATGCAATAAAACCTATCCCAAAAGGTAAGTTAAATTATAGCTTTCACATTTCTCCCCTGATGGTCCCACCAGATGTTTTCAAATGCAGGACACAGGCCCTTTTTCCTGTTCTCTCCAGGGAAGGAAGAAAGAAGACTTGGCTCACATAGACAAACTTTTAGGAGGAGAGAGAGAGAGAAAAAAAAAGCACCATGTAGCAAAGGCCTGCTGGGAATCACAGGGTGGCTGGACCATAAATCTGAACGAAAGCTATGCTGGCTTCTGCCCATTTTCCCCTTATTCTCACCAGTTCCTCCCAGCTCAATGTCAGGAATTTAGCTCTCATTTTGAAAACAGCCTGTAAAGTCTCCACCAGTCCCCTGAGGCCGAGGGCTGCCATCTTGCTTCTTTCTTGTGGAGAAGTCTGCAGAGCTCTGTATGGGAAGACGATGCAGGAATCCAGTCCTGCGCCGGATGGCTATGTGAGCAGAGAACCGTGGAAACCAGAATGCTCCCCTTCCTGGCCCTCTCAGGACTCCCCGCTTCTTTTGCAAATGGAAGTGTATTTTTAATCTTCCCCCTCCATCAACTTTAACTTCTATCCCAATCTGAAAGGACATAAAGCAAAACAACGAGGGTACGATATGGTCAGTCCTTCACAGACAGGGACAGCCCTCTGCTACTGTCACAATGAGCTGAGTTCTCCTCAGTAAAGGCAAGCTGTGTCCTTCCCATTGGGCAGCGTGGGTGCAGGCTCCACACTGGAGGGAGTCTAGGGAACAGGATGCTCCAGCTTTTATGCCTCAGTGCTTACTTTCCTGGGGTAGAGGCCGTGTCCTCTATTTTGGTCACCAGTCAGAAGCATCATAGATATGCTGAACAGAGAACTTGAGCGTACTCCACCAGTCTGTAGATGCATGTTGGGGAGAGGCAGCTTCCCAGTCAGCCAGCCCATCTGTGCCACTACCACAGTCTATATACTATATGCTAATACAGTCTATATACCTTCCTGCAAATACTGACAGGAGTCCTGGGTGGGAACAGGGCAAGGTGAGCCTTGCAGACAGGAGTTAAAGACCAAAGGGAGAGGCTGGGATGGAGATGAGTCATGGAGACAAAAGAATAAGAGCTTAGATGTTAGTTACTGCCAATTTGTATAATTTTGCAATAATGGGAGAACCAAGTAGCATTTTTTAACTTTGGAAAAAGGGACATTCAGAAGAATGTCAGAAGAAGAGGCAAATGAGCTCTAAGCCATAGCCCATATTCATCTCAATGCTATCATCCAGTAGCTGTGGGACTTCAGGCAGCTAACTGCCTGAGACTGTTTCTGAGTCCTAGTGCTTATTGGGCTAGTGGAGTATGTGGAGAAGAATTTCACCTCATACACGACTAACTTATGTATTCAAAACCTTTACTGTCGCTGTGACAGAGTATGAATAATAATTCCATGAAAAGGGAGGGAGGTTTTATTCCAGCCCACAGATTCTGAGGATTTCAGCACACCATGGTAGGCTGTTCCTTCCTGGGCAGAAATGAGAGGCTGAGAGGATGTCTGCATCTTGACTCAACAAGAAGCAGAGAGGGAGTGAGCAGCCAAATAGAGAGGAATACATTCTTCAGAGGCCTGTTTTGCCACCAGGCAGGCCACCTCACAACTACAGAAGTTCTTAACTTCCCCAAACAGCTCCATTGGCTGGGTACCACTTGTTTAAATGCTTTTAAGGTAGCAACATCCTACCTTGTTTGCTTTCAGTTATTCTGAATGTATGTGTTGGGGGAAGGGAAAGAAATTAGACAGTGCTGCATAGTTGTCTCCCACATAAAGAAAATCAGTTGTTTTAGATGTTAAAGTTTAACCTTTCCTGTTCCATTCTTGTTGAATGGAAATGTCCACCATAGGCCTGCATGGTTAAAAACATCCATCTAGTGGGCTGTTTAGGCAAGTTCTGGAACCTTTAGGAGGCAGCAGTCACTAGGGGCTGGCCTTGAAGCTTTAAAGTATGGTCCCACTTCCCGTTTGCTCTCCATTTCTTGAAATTGGATACAATATAACCAACCAAAGGAACCAAAGGTTCCTGTTACCTTTTCTTCTTTGCTTGTTGCCATGCTGCTTCAGCCACAATGGAGTCCATTCTCCAGGAACTGTAAACCCAAATCAAGCCTTAAGTTGCTTTCATTGCTTTTTTTTTTCACTAACAGAAAAAAGTAAATAAACACTTATCACATATGCTGAAGATTCATTTGATAAAATTTATTTTCTTATTTTATATATACAAATGTCTTGCTTGTATGTACTGTATTTGTGTAGTGGTCTTCAAGCCCAGAAGAGAGTGGAACTTCAGTTATAAAATGTTGTGAATGGCCATGTAGGTGCTGGGAACTGGACCCAGGTCCCATGGAAGAGTATCCAGTGCTCTTAACCACTGAGCCATCTCTTCAGCCTCCTGTGTTGAAGATTCTTATTCCTCCCCGTATACTCCCCATTAAAACTTGTATGTTTGTCTTAGTTAGGAAACGCAAGGTCTAAATACACTAACAACTCAGAGGTCACACTGGCTTACCCTATACCTTTATTTTTCACATAAGACATGTTAGTGAGGGCCAGCAGAAGGAGGCTGCACACTGCCACTCTTAGAACCCAGGGTAAG